ATACAGTACAGATTCAGAACAACAAAAAATATCAACTGTTGTGTTAGTCAGTGTACAGTTCCAGTTATTTACACTCACAGATATTATACCTGTGTAATATGCAGGCCTAGATCATGCACTGGACGTTAGGGGTCTTTCAGTTAATCTCATAATGATCACAGTTTACCATTCTTAACACTTTAACTAAAGCTGGAAAGAACAAAAAATTGCAGATAGTCCATTATTTAAAAATCACGGTTACAGAGAAAACATTGACTGGTTTAAGTTTTAGTAGATATTTAATTGGTGAAATTGGTGTAGAATGTTTCAGATACATTGACACAGTTCTAAGCCGCAAAAGAAATACTAACCACAAAAACAACGAAACAGGAGGAAAAATTAGTGCCTATATTTTAAATGATGAAAGTGGTTTGACCCTTGAATCACTCTGGTATTTCCAAATGCTAGTTAGCATTGCAGTGGCAGCTGCTCATTGTGGAGGCTTCCTAAGCAGTATTAACAATACAGTCAAACTATAACAGAAGCATCGAGTAAAGGAAAAGTCCCTTGGATTGGCGAGTGGCACAAAAATTATTGGCATTTTAATACACCACAAAATTGACCTGAGGGTGGAGTGGCATTCTGTCTCATTCACTCCTTTCAATTCTTCTTATAAAAAAAATATTGCTATTAAAAAAGATAAGAATCCTTAAGCACCATCTATGAATTTACAATATAACCACCTTTATCAACTCTGAATTGCTCTATATCAAAAATTTGTTTGGAATTTTAATATTTACAAAAATCATAGTTGCTAAATTAATTCCTTCTCCTAGACACAATTTATCCAAATTTTTTTTTTATTTTTTATTTTTGAGATAGGGTCTTGCTATTAGTGCAGGCTGGCTTTGAACCCACTGTGTAGGCCAGGCTGGCTTCAAACTCATAGTGATCTTCCTGCCTCAGCCTCCCAAGTGCTAGGATTACAGGCATGCAGCCACCACGCCCGGTTCCAAATAATTTTAAGACATATTAACCATTCAGTTTGGGTGATTAAGAAGTGACAAAGAGAATAAGCATGTTTCTGATTACTAGGACAGTTTAGTAATGTTCCACCTAGATAAAACTATCTTATTTCATGTATGACTATCACTGCAGTATGAACATTTCCATCATAATACAGTTTTCATGAAGCTTATTAAAAGAGTTGAACTGCACAACTATGTTTATAGGACCATTCAAGCCTCTGCTTTTGGATGAAATGCTTCATTTGTAGAAGAAACAAGAGACTCTCTTGGAAGTCATAGACTGCAGTGTTATCAGGTAAAATCTAACAGTGATTTCCAAAGACCACCAGCTTTGTATGGACTGCTAAGAGCCACTGTATTTGTATTTAACTTTTGCAACAGTCCTCATGACATCAACAAGCACTATGACCAGAACTGTAGTTCTGGGGTAAAATTGCAAGAGGGAGAAAAACATAAAGCTTGCTTCATGTAAAATCTCTTCTTTAAGTAAATATAGAGACCAGGACAAGTCACTATGCCTACTGGAATTGCCCTAACTGCCCTGTTACTGCTTCCCTAGAGAACTGGCAAAATAAAACTGCACAGAAAGCTTGAAAAGTGAAGGGGGCCAAAGAAAAGCATGGCCACAGAAATAATGTTTTGGGTCCTTTTTCCTGTGTGTCATCAAATTGCAACGGATAGTGGTCTTCAGGGGAAGAGGTAGCGATCTCCTCTACAGTGCCTATGAATTTGCACAATGACTGTGAATGCTACTGGCAATCAGTCAGCAGCAGCCTGTGACACTGAACACTCTGCGATGCGTGGGATGGTTCCGTACAACAGACTGCCCTGACCCAAACACCGACAGCACCCCACCGAGAAACACCGATCCACGGTGCTGAGCACGCGGGTGCAGCTGTGTTAGCAATGCCACAAGCTAAATGGCATTCTTGTTTTTGTGCAGCAAATCCTAGCCTAACTGAAAAAAAAAAAAAAAAGAAAAGGCTCTTTTCTAGAGGGCTACTTTAGGTGGGAATAGCTACCACAGGAGCGTCTATTTCTTTGTCAGAAATCTTACAATGAATACAATGGGATTTCTTAATTTGGGATGACCCAGACTTCAAGAAAAACATAGCTGGGCTGATTTCAGGTTCTTTTCAGAAATGCTAATGGTGCCTCACATTTCTGAACAGAACTTATGCTCATGGATTACAAAAGTAACTGGAAAGTGAAAAGGAGACTGGTTTGCTGGTTTTCTACCTTTGCGCCCACCACGCTTTGGTCCCCTTCTAGTACAGCCTAACATTGCCCTTAAACTTGGGTTCTGCACTCTAGTGGATGTGCTTTCTCTCCAAAAGATGTTCTCCTTGATTGGTGGTCACTTTTGTCACTGCGTTCTCCTCTAGAACATATTTGATCTCCCTCTGCTTTGTCATGTAAGACAATAGTGTATCCCACCAGGCAGTAGAGGGCAAATACTAAGAAAGATTAATCATGTCAATCTTCCAAAAGGCAATGTCACAGATAAACTGCATCTGAAAAGCTTTTTAGGCTTACAACATACTCTAATGAAATGAACAGATAATGTTCTCAAAATATATGCTTTTACTATGAAAGACAGGCTTAAGATATGTGGAATTTAGGAATGCTTAAACAGTTCTGCCATATCGATGAAAATGACAGAAGTTCATATATCTTGTTAGTTTAAGTCTACCTGACCTACTCTGAGGAAAATTTATTATTCTGAAATATGCTGCAGGACCATTTCAAAATAGTAACCAACTGGTAAAACTTTTGAGCCAGAGGGGAGGAAAACAAAGTTTTCAGTTAGGTATGGATATACTACTATGTGGTAGGTAAGAGTAGCTTTTTGTGTTGGGAATGTTGTATAATTTTTGAAAGTTGTGTCCACCTAACTCCATGAAGTGCAAGTAAAATATCTGCTGTGTGTTGATGTGGTTTGTATCAAGCTATGCAGTGTTTATGCAGGTGTTTTTTTTTCTCTTTTAAGTGTAAGCTACTGTATTTTTGTTTTAAATCCAATTTGGTACTGAATTAATTGCAGGATACAAAATCTAACTTACGGATACGGATTTTAAGGATTCCCAACTCCTCTTCAATATTTGGTGATTTTTGAAGGATATATTTGTCTTTCTATTTCCTTAAATATATTTTCACTTCGATTTCAGAACTTTTTAGGGATACTAGAGAAAGGTAAATAACTGCACTCCTTCCACTACCCAGGATATAAAGATGAAACCAGAAAGTCAACATATCTAGATAAGTGGAAGGAGAGATATAATTGCTTCTTCCTTCAATTAAAACAGCTATTCATTTTTTCCCCTCTGGTACCAGGAATCAAACCCAGGACCTTGCGCTTGCCAAGCAAGCACTTGTGCCTGCTGAGCCATATCCCCAGCCCCGAAAACAGCTTTTCAAATGCCTAAGGTTGTTCTCAGAATAATGTAGATCTTAGTTAAATGATTTAAGAAAATGTAAGACACTTCACATACCTAGGAAATTATTAAGCAAGTTGCGTTAAAGCTGATCACCAGAGAACTAATTTTGCCAGGTTGATTGGTAATGCCTTGGCGAGGGCCAAGAAGGCCTACTCAGCATCCTCTTGCTGCCTTCGTACAAATGCATATACACCTTAACAGCCATTTAAAAGAGATGGAAATTGTCACTCTGCTTTTTAGACTCTACTTCTCTTCTGCCTGGAACCTTCTTAGGGATGAGTTTGTTTTCTTCCTTCATCACATGTCTTAGACACAAAATAACCTAGCCATTGTTCTACATAAGCTGAATGAAGGTGGACGTTAGCAAAAACCTGGGCTTGTGTTACACCAGCAACAACCACAACAAAAATGAAATCCAGGTGTAGCACAGTAGTAGAGTGTATACCTAGTGTACACCAGGCCCTGGGTTTATCCTCAGCATGTAAAGAAAAGACAAAAGAAAACCAATTCTCACACACATTTACTTTCTTTATGGTTTTTTTTTGATACTGGGAGTCGAACTCAGGACCTTGTACTTGCTATTACTTTCTTTATGAACCAGAAGCACACTGGGTGTGCTGCAGATGCGCTGAGAGCGGACAGAGCCACGACCGCAGGGAGGTTGGCCTGGCCTCTGCCTCTTCTCGGGGCTGTCAGGCAGAAGACCCCGGATGGCTGCTGGTGGAATTATGCAGGATTTCTGCATAATAAAACAGAGTTTTATTCTGTGCAGTGCATCTTAGCTCCCAATCCTTTAGTACTTTGTGCAGCCTTTTATTTAAGGGATCATTCTAACGGAGTAACGAGTGGTGCTAATTACTTAAAGATTAGGTTAGTAGTAGTAAAATTTTTTTTTAAATTTCTAATGTAGAATTTGCTCTAAACAGCCTGATCAATATGAAGAAAAAAGTGTGGGTAGTTCATAAATCTGATATATTATGCAAGGAAAACAATATATAGAAGTACCAGGTTTTCATTTTTGTACTGGGTGAATCTTATTGTAAGGAATTAAAAAATTACTTCAATTGCTCCACTGTGGAAAAACTGTTCCTTTTACCAATCAAACAGAAACTTTCTATGACATGTATCCTAACTGATAAAGTGGTAATAATGTCTTATACTGTTATATAGAGAGATCTGTGATTAGAAGTTTTAAAAAAAATTCTGTGATTATAAGCATAGAAAAAGAAAAGAAACATTATATTCCTGGTATTTCTCCCAAGACACTAAAATGACATTAAAATATCTAAAGAATAGGACAATTTAAAAAAAAAGGGCGAACAAAGTTAATTTTTTATGGCTCAATTTAAACAGTATAAAACAAGGTCTGGTGGGTGTAGCCCAGTGGTAGAACACTTGCCTAGCGTGTACCAGGCCTTAGATTTAACCCCAGCACCACAAACAAACAATAACAACAAAAATCAGGCAAAGTATCAGCCAGAGACAGACACTTAGGCATACAAAGAAAAATTTTCAAAGCAAAGTATGTCTTATCCTATTACAAAAATGACAGTAGTACAGAGAGCAAGTTTATTTTATTAATGCCCATAGCTGAATGCAGGAAGAGGTACAATAATGCTGGTTACTTCTCTTATAAAATGGTTCTGGCTTTTTATAACAGGCCAAGAGGGGCAAATTTGTTTTCAAAAGTTTTAAGTAAAATCACTCTTTTTCAAATGATTTTTTAAATAAAACTATCAATGAGTGGAGGGATCTAAATTTAACCAACAGATGAAATGCTTGGTTTTGGATTGAAACTGACAATTACAATCTTCCACATTCCAAACTAAATGCAATTCAGGAAATTCTACTCTGAGCTCTAAGAATAAAATACTCTATTTAGGTCTTGCCTTTTTGTTATGTATTTTTTAATAAAAACGACTGAGAAGAACAATTGAATGCAAGGTGGTATTTACACACACGTCAGGTATATTGGGGAGCAGGTGTCAAACTGAGCTTGGGGTTCAGTCCAGGGGAAGGGGCAATACAATAATAGAAGGTTTCTCATTGTAAACAATACTGCTCACAGGCTCGCAGGAAAACTGTCTGTGATTTTCATCTCACTGATCTCTGGCAATGAAAGTAAATACTGTATTTATGGATGTGATCTGCAGATTCTTAATATAAAATAAAAAAATGAGCTTTCTCCCACACACAACTTAGCAGAGACTTTCTCTGTTCTTTTAAGCCTTGGGATGTATATTTTCCGATGCATGCACTTAATTTTAATAGCAGCAATTCAACTTTTTTTTAATGCAGTGCTGAAAAATAACTGGTCCTTTGCATTCCCCCTCAGAACTAACAGCAGGCAGCACATGCTGTACCTCACTTAAATTTTAACTTTGCATTCTTAAAAGGGTGTCATGATTGTCGATATTATCTTCTTTAGATCAAGTATGATTTCTTAACTTTGGAGATAATCAAGACAGGGAAAGGAAAAAACAGATTTGTTTCTAAAGCTTATGACAGTTTTATAGGGTCACACTGCATCTGTCTTTTCACCTAATCCTGTTATCTTTGTGGAAAATGGACACATTAGGAAAGGGGTATAAAAAATGTCAAGTGTGTACAGCTGTGCTACTTAAAAGCATACAACAAAATTTGGATAAGCATGCTTGGTAAGAGTCAGTAGAAGTCTCTTGCATTTAAGAAAAAGACGCGTGAAAATATTCAGATTTGTTTCTGGCAACTGGATTCACTGGCACAACATAAAATAATGGTACTTTACTGTACCAACGTAATGGTAAAACAAGTATATTTGTGTAAAACGTAGTCTTTAAGGAATCCATGCTGGGTGTTTAGGATTCCCAAACCCCTTAATAAGTTCTCAGCTACCAAATGCCTACTTCAAAAATACATTTATGTTTCAATTTTCTCCCTTCTTCATTAACATAATGAAATATATCTCTTTCTTTCTGATTTTCAACTCCCACCTTTCCAGCACCCATCAAGTTATCTTTAACCCACAGGCACTAAATCTTTTGGCTTTCTGGTAGTAAGGAGCCGGTGATTGTCTTCTGCTCATCTTCTTTGATTAAACTCCTTATGAAGAATAGCTGACGTAACCACGGTGTCCCTTACCATCAATCCACATCCTGGGCAACAAGGTTACTGCATCCTTCCCTTCACTCGTTGGCCCCCTCTGGACTGTAGAAGTGAGGAGTACTTTCGAACAAAGCCGAGTCACACACTTCCTTCACCACAAGTTAAACGGAGTCACACACACTCAAGTCTCAGTGCAATATCAGCTTTTCGGGAAGCAGGGCTCGTTCCCCTAAAGATGATCATCTGTGCTTGCAAATAGCCCCATGCTCCTTTACGGACGATGAAACCTGGGATAAGAAATAGAAACTGTGAGTCTGTATGCCTGTACTCAATGATCTAAATAAGGTAAGGTGAGGTTTAACTTATACAAAGATTCTGGCTACAGCGTTCAGGTTATAGAGCAATAGAGACAAAACATCACTATCCTCAGCATCACATCCTTACTCACAGAAGGATGTAGTGATATCCAGTCTGTAGACATCACAGGAAAATAACAGTCATTATTTCATTACCTAGAACCTCTCATCAGTTCTAGCTGGTGAGTCCAAATCAACTTTCTACATATGCAGTTCCAACGGCTTGCTGGTCCTTTTACCCAGGCGTTCCGCAGGTAACATACTAAGCATGCCCACCAGTACACAAAGGTTGTCGTGTACACTTCAGCTTCTGTAACAGTGTACTTTAAAAAAATATTTTTAGTCTAGAAACATCAAGTTGACAATTTATTTACCTCTATCAGCCATCATCTCCCTTTTATCATCATGTCCTGCCTCAACTGTCTGGCTTTCAATCATTAAAGCCCTTACCATCTTTTGTGGGTACCACCTTGATACCTGCTTGCTAGCTAGCTAGTAGGCTTCATGTTCTCGAAGCAAATTCTAGAACATTCCTGCCTTTTGTAGCCCTGTGCTTTTGACAGCCCTGTGCTGTCCCCAGTACTATAATTCCCTCCTTTTGTTTCCCATCTATGTTTTCACTATCAAGATCAAGGTCAAAAGCCATCTTCTTCATAAAACCTTATCTCATCCAGCTCTTCAGCAGACTTCTGTAATACCACATTTATGTAACTTTACTTAGCATTGCCCTGTTTTCTGTAACTTAATGCTCATCTTCCTCAGTGTGCCAGTTAATCTCACCTTCAATGTGATTGGATTAAGACACTCTTGAAGAGGTAACTTGATCATGGTGCACTATACTTATCAATGGATTAGTCCATTGATGTTCGTAGCTGAATGGGAAGATTGAACCCAGATTTGGGAGGTAGTCACAAGGGGCATGCCTTTGGAGGGTAAAGCTTTCTCTGGTGCTGCTCCTGAGCCACCATGCAGTGAGCACCTTTATTGTGACATATGCTTCTCTCATGATGTTCCTGCTTTAAAGCCAGCCAACCATGGACTGAACTCTCTGAAACCATGTGCCAAATTAAACCTCTCCTCTTTTAAGTTACAAGTGTCAGGGATTTTGTCCCAACAATGGAAAAGCTGACCCGTATACTTGGTAAACTAAATCTCCTAATTGATTTCCCTCCTTCAGGTTCTCTCCATGAAATCCATGCTTCAGACTATATTAAGAAATATCAACTCCATTACTCCAGTTCTTTGTTAAAAGAATTGTATTGTTCCTCATTCTCTACAAAATACCATTTAAATTTTTTGGAGTGGTGAAGTTAGCTTTTCAGAATGTGACCCAGCTCATGTTTCAACTGTATCTTCCAGTCATTGGCTCCCAAAGTCCTTTTGTGCTCCTGATGAGTCTTTCTTCCCATGTCTACTTTGTTCAATATCACTCTGTGAGGTCCCCAAACTCTCTTTTCTCTACCTCTCAGGAAGGGATGGGTGGCACTCTCTTCTGTGTTTCTACAGCCTTTGGTTTACATCAATTATTAATCACCTTATCTGGTCTTTGTGCAGGAGGGACTCTGCTACTGGACTGTGAGAAGCTGAAGAGAGAATTCTCTTTCATTTTTACATACTCACTCATCTGGTACGTGGTATGTCTTAATAAAAGTGCCTGAGCAGAATCCAAGCATTAAAAAATGAATAAAGACAGAAGAGATAAAACATGATTTGCTGTAATTTAATAACTGGAGAAGCTGCTTGATGGATACAGGGGACTTCTTATATTATTTCTATATATTTGACTTCCTGGAAGTCAAAATAAAAATAAGATATACCAAACTTTTCAAAGCTTGCAAGTCAGTTGTGCTAATGTAGGGATGTTCCACTTGGAGTTCAATTCTTAACTCCACTCCTGACCAGAATATCAGGCAGATGTATGATCTCCATGCTCTCTACATTTCTTTCTTTCTTTCTTTCTTTCTTTCTTTCTTTCTTTCT